AATTAACTCTGACACACGATTCAAACTGATTTATCAATTAAATTTATTCAATTCTCCTAGAGAATAGTGGGAGAAATGATTTAACAATTTGCATATAATTGCAAACAAAAAAATTCCCCATTAAAATTAAATGGCAAATATGAACATTGAATGAATTTGTTAAATTGCATATTGCGTACTAAAAGTATTTTAGTTCCAAGCAATTTTTTTTTAATGATCCTAAAGTTCGGAATTTGTTTGTTTCTCGAAACTGAATTTTTAGCACTGAAATTGATTATATATTTATTATAAATTAGTTATGGAGTTTAATTAAAATTGAATTTTTATTGCAATGTCCCTGAAGTTAGTGTCGTTAGCTTAGCGTCGAAAACTATATTATTTGAAGTTTTTAGAGATCAAAATATTAAAATTCACTTGTTTTAGTACCTAGGGTCAATAACTAATTGACTCTAGTTAATCAATAACTATAATTCCAAATTCTTATTATTAAAATTCATAATAAAATTATTCAATAACAATTTTCTCGAATTTTCCTCTATGTGAGTTTTTTTTAGTACTATTTCCACGCACTGTTTGATTAAAACGTTAATATACGTTTTTTTTATAAAAAAAAAATCGTCATGTTTTGTCTATAAGTCAATTGCTTATAAATTATTTTTTTAATTATTACTCCGTCGCGACTTTGTTACTTTTCATAATGCATCCAACTTTACATATTCTCGTTTTTTTACAACTTTATAATTACGTCCAATTTTTTTTTTTGCAGCATTTTTTATAAATTCTCATTTTTTATTTGAAAAAGTATAAAGTCGTTCACACACAACTCTAAGATTTTATATACTTGTATATTCCCTTTTTATTCTCTCTGATGTGATGGAAACTTAGATTTTTCATTTGAATAAATTACATATTGTCGTTAATGAACTCTGACACAAGTTTACACGCTTTTTTTCTTGTATTATTATAATAATATAAATGTGTGTAGGTACATATATTAATATTATATACGTGCGCCATATTTGCGTGTATGGTATCCTGTTTCATGCTCGGTATGGTTTCAATATACATACAAAGATAGCATGTGTGTTGTACTGCTTTTTAAGCATGTTTTAATGTACCCTCTTTATGATTACAGTGCAAACTTCCGCATTTCTTTTATTCTATTACCTAAAGGAAGGGAAGACTGAAATTTCCCTTCTTCAAAAAAAAAAATTTTCTTTCTCTCTTCTTCTTTTGTTTTTTTTTTTTTTTTAACCATTGGCTCTTTCTTTATGTCGACTGCCATTTTTTTTTGTGTTCTTTATTATCAAAGGAATATTTGCTCCACTTGTTTCATTTTATATTTCATTTGTGAAATTTTTCTTTTAAACATTTTTGAATATTTTTAATATTCTTTATGTTGTCTTGGAGATATCTTGTGTCCTATATGTTATTACAAAACCGCATTGTTTTAATTACCAAATCCATATAGTTTAAAATTTAAAAATAGACTACTTTTCAATCTTTAAAAAAACATTTTCAAAACCTAAAATTATTGTAAAGCCTCTTATTTTGAAACTTATTGAAACTAGATTTTATGTCTAAAACTAGATTAGATTTTATGACTTAAAATGCTAAAATTCAGTTAAAAAGGATTCGAATGTGAATATAGTTTTAGTCAAAATTTGTTAATAGTTAAAAATTACGTTTCTTTATACGCAAAATAATATTTTTCAATAAAATACAAATTAAAAGTATTAGCAAGTAAGTATTACCAAAAAGTTTACCAAAAATATTGGCATTTATCGTTCAAAAATTTAGAGATATCGAAACTTGTGGATCATTATTATTGTTACTATTATTATTTTTATTATTATTTTTGCTTTTTTATTATTACTTTGTTATTATTTCTACGGTTAGTATTGCCATTATTTTTATTTATTGCTATTACGATTTAAAATTTCGCTTTTTATGTTTTTTGTGATAAAAGTTTCTATATACTTTTGCTTATCGCAGTTTTTAAAGTGACGTGTATTCAGCTTTTGTGAATTTATCTTTAAGGCTTTTAGACTACTACTTGTCATTCATAAAATGCGACATGAAAGATATTTCAGTTCCAGCAGTGCGATTAATCTTGAAAAAGTTATTGCAAATTTTCATTACACTCGAAATCCGTCTTCCTTGTTATTCTTTAAAAATGTTTGTAAGCATTTTTCTTCTTCTTCTTTTTTCAAACTATATCTTGATTTCATAACGAATTCCTTTCTACTTTCTTGAATATTTATAATATATAATATAAGCTTATATATATGTATACAAAAACTTGAGAAAGAAAGTTGGTAAATTTTACTTTATTCGGAGGGGTGGGTATTATTTATAAATTTGCCTCAAGTAACATGCGGCTAATTAAGTGCAAGCGACAAAACTTTAAAAACCGGAAATTTATTTTTCTGGTATAGAGAACATTTATTTAGAGGAGGGAAATTTTACTAATTAAGAGAAAATCTGTCTTCGAGAAGTTAATTTGTTTTGACGTAATTATATATCCTAATTTTATCATAATTATCATTTAGTTTTCAGAAAATTAGTTGTTTCTTAAAGATCCACAAGTTATGGATAGGAAGTATTTGAACGGAGTGTTTGTAACTATATTTTCTCGATGTTTTCATAAACTGGTAATTACTGCGATTGCAATAATTAAATCTAGACAAAATTTAATTTAAACACTTTTTTACATTTAGAAACTTATTTTGATATTAGGAAAAAATTGTACCTAACAAAAGATTAAATTTTGAACAAGGCACTGAGTTTCGTTAATTTGAATCATTCGGAACTTTTGGGATCGTGTAAAATAATAATAAATGGCAAAATATAAATAAATTTCTTTTAAATTCTTCTCACGCTTGCGGGAAAGTATATTATTCTATTATAGAATTTAGTGAATATTGTTGATCCTTTTATACAGTAATTCTTATATTTGACGTTTATAAGATTGACGGCGGCAACTAAATGTTATGAATGCTTTTTGATATACAGAAAATCTCTCTCTCACACTGTTCTTAAAATAGGTCAGTGCAAGACTGATTACATTCTAACATTGATTTTTCCTTCAATGAAATGTGTTTTCTTTTCCCACACAAGGGAGATAATGTCAATAATGAAGATTATTCAAAAATTGATGACTTTTTATATATGAGAATTTCATTTTTTGATATTAAAAAGTGCTTATAAATTTCTGTCAAGTTAAATTAATTCGAAGGTTAATGACTACACTGTTTACTCAAAAGTATCAAATGGCAACGAATTGATATCAAAAATGGGGATCAAATCAAAAGTATGTATAATCAAAAATATTTCAAATTTTGGTATTAATTTGATCCACTTTTTGATCAATTTGATACTTTTTGGAAAACTGTGCAAAACAGACTGCAACCTATAATGTAAGATACAAATTTTTAGCTCAAGTTTTGATTTCTTAATGAAAAAATACATTTTTTTCCAGAGTGTTTCGAAATTCTTCAAAATCTTCACGGAGCAAAGTCATTTCAAATTTTTGGGGAAAGAAAACGAATAAAGGAATGAAGAAGAAAAGTGCAGTTATTGGTAAGTCTTTTTTTACTTCTTTTACTTTTGACTAATGAGGCAAATTCAAAAAAACGAGAAAAAATTTCCCTGACAATTTACTGACATTAAAATTATTTTCCCTGACAAAACTTTTTGCACTGAAAAATGAGTAAAATTTATGAAATTTAATTTAATTCTAATATAATTCTAAGAATTAGGTAGTTTTTAAAAATATTTTAATGTAATTTTTCAAAAACAATTGAATTTCTTAAAAGAGTTTTTGTATTATTTAAAAAACTAATTAATTTTTTGATGAATTTTAATAAAATTAATTTTCATTTTTAAATTTACGTTTAAAGATTTTTCATTAAAATTTTTGATAATTCATTCAGAATTTGCAATTACAATTCTTCAAAAGTTAATTTTCAAAAATTCTGACAAAATACTTGAAAAAATTAATTATTTTTCAATTAAATTTGACTAAATTTCAATTATTCAAGATAAATTTTCCCTCAAAACATTAGGAATGTGAAAAAAGAACAAAAATTAAAAAGAAACCCCTCTAAATTGTAAATTACGCAATTTTTGGAACGTTTAGAAACTTTATTCTAAATTCTAAACATAAAAATGTCTTAATGGGAAAGAATTTGTGCCTCATTCAGAAATTCTAAACAAAACATTTGCTCTCTCGTTTATCCAAGCACGAATCTCGATTTTTAATTCCACAATGCACATGTCTGATGCGATTTTGATCAAATCCGATAATGTTGCTCTTTGATAAGATCCTATCTCTCTCACTTCTTTGTTTATTGTTTAATTTTTTTCTCATGTCAAGTTCATAAAACTCTTTGTACGTCAATTAAACAACCTCCTCTCATTTATTTTTTTCCATCCTCACTGTTTGACACTTTTTTTTCATGAGCAAAAATAAAAAATTATATTTTCCTTCTTTGCAGCTGTTTGAAATCAACAAACAAAAAAAAAAGGGGGGAAAAAAATGCAGTACACAAGAGGGTAGCAATCAGGAATAATTCAACTCTGTCGCCAATCAATACCAGGTTCCAAAATTGTGTGTGCCTTGTAAATTCCTTCTTCTTCTTCTTCATCTTCTTCATCTTCCCATACAGACTCCCTATATTCTCTCTGGAAGTATAAAACCTCGGTGCTCGATAAGCGAATCGCCCTTCCTCGTCGGAGATTCGCTCAATCGGAAAATTCTCTCCCACTCCCCCCCCCAAAAAAAAAGAGTGAGTGAGAGAGAGAGAGAGAGATCAGTAAAAATCTGAGGGGATTTGGGTGGCGCAACAACCGTAAGCGTAAGGTCGCGTAAAAGAAAAGGAAGGAAGGAAGGAAAGAGCGAGAGATAAAATGAAAAAAAAAAATTTGAAAGCGAGAGAGAGAAAAAGGGAGAAAGAAAGAGAGAGAGAGAAGAGACTGCGAGGACGAAGGGCACTCACCTCGAGTTCCTCGTAGGTGCGGAAGGCGAGGATGGCAAAACCGTCGATAATGTCCTCTTCAAATGGAGGCTCCTTCTGTGAGGCACCTTGGAGGGAGGACTTTTTGCGTGGCCTCGGTGGCCGCGGTGGCCTGGGAGGTCTCGGATGGTTATCCCTCGGATGACTTCCCTTGGAGAGTCCTAAACCGAGGCCACCGGGGTCCTCGTCCTCGCCACTGTGGCTGTCCTCCTCGTCGGGTCGTTGCCTCTGCTGCTGCTGCTGCTGTTGTTGCTGTTGCTTCGCGTTTGCCAGGCTTTCCCTTTGCGCGAGCATACGCTGAGCTCGCTCGCGTCGCCGATTTCTTTGATTTCTCTGCTTCGTGTCGATCTCCATCCTCTCTGATTTTTAGCAAAAAAAAAAAAAAACAGAATCTCAAAGGACAATGGAAATAAAAAAAAAACTACTCTCTCCCCCGTATGATCCTTTTTGACGATAACAAATCAGCACCTTTGGGAAGAATGCACTATTCGCGAACACATCGATCCAATCGCACTGGTCGTGTCCACAGGCAAAGATTTTCCCGCACCACACAATTTTAATATTTTTCCCTTTTTTTCTTTATCACGCACTGAGACTTCTTCTATTTTTTATCCCAAAAAAATGGGAGTGACTATTTTGATGATATTATGATAATCACACACTGCACTCCGCGGCACGTACGCACGTAAAAAAAAAAAACGCACGCACGTACTCGTCAATGAGATTCACGAGGCTTCATCTTGGTGCGACCTCGACCGACCTCCTCGCGTCGCGGTCGATGTAAGGATGCACCCAGGTCGATCCGGAGCCAGATGCACCCGAGGGCACCGTAGACTTTGGAATGGCGGATCGTTGCCGCATCGCGGAGGTAAAAATGGCCGCCTTAACTTCTGAAACACAGTCAAGGGCCGGCACGCACTTTATCCGGACATCACGAATCACATTGCAATTCTCATCACTTTTGTTTCGAGTCACTTGGCGAATTAATACGAAACTTGATAATTGTTGTTGGGTAAGTACACGCCCCAATTACACTTGGACGACGCGATTTTTACCTAATCCCATTTCCTCAGTCTGTCAATTGCCTCACCACCACAGCAGACGGTGCTCGAATAGTTGAAAACCAAAGTCGCGAGCAAGAGAAAATTCCCTTCGTTTGAGAAATTTCAACTCGGGTTTTCTGTATATATTACCGAGAACTTTACCTCTATGATGTTTGTCAGCTGATTATACAGAGATTTTTGTTATCATTATCAATATTTTTATACACATATTATCGTGTACTCAATATTATTATTCACTTTGTTTTGGTAATAATCGTATTAATTAGATATTATTGAATCGTAGTAATTATTTTGTTGCTCCAAAAAGTAAAATATTGACAACTAAAAAAAAAACTAATTTTCGGAGCTGTTTTATTAGAAAATTCTAGTCGTTGACAATTGTTATATTCGAATTCTATTTAGATTGGAATCAATATCACTAAATTATCGCTAAACAATTATTAACTTTATTTATTTCATGACAGTTTGGCTTCAACTGTCAATTTTTGAGGTTAGGTTAGTGAATAATATATACTTGTCACTTGTGAGGAGTTTGACACTTTTCTTTCTCAACAATATTTACGAAATTGTTACCGAAATACTTGACGTCTATTTTTTTATAGTCTTGACATTAATTTCGACACTGTTCGATGATAATTTTCTAAATAATATTCACGATATTAGCACTGACACTTATCTCCAATTTTTGATAATATTCCATTTTTTCTTTCTGTAGAAATTAACTTTACCGACAAGTTTTTTTCTACTGTTTCTACTTTGTGCCGGTAGGTGTCTAACGATGGTGAATTAATCGAATAACTCGAATCGATAAATCGAAGTAATGTGACTAATTTCATTATGTTGACAAAGTTGATAAATTTCATAAATTTTGTTGCAAATACGTTACGAATTTTTATTTTGTGCAAAAAGAATACTTAGAGGAGTGTAAATGTAGGGAAAATTAAGTATTTTCGATGTTAATGGTGAAAATATTGATTAATATATTCGAAGTAATTATAAAAGTGATGATTATGGTGTAGATTGTCGAATCAAAATATTCTAACCTCCACGTGTAAACGGTTTATTTTTCTATCCATTTGAATGAGTTTAAAAAGATTTCCAAGTTTTTATCATTTTAATAATGAAGTCTTGTAGTGAAATTACTTCTTTTTCTCGAAAGGAATGAATGAATTAACAAAGTTGTAAAAAGGAATGTATATTCAAATTTCAATAATGGATTCGTTTTAAAATTCGTCGCACTTAATCCGAAAATTTTTATTGCACGTGAAGAAATTGGTGAGAGATTTAAATTTTAGTTTTACGCTTTTAATTTAATTATCGACCCTAATAGTTATAGAGTTATATCTTAAAAATTATTTTATAAAGTTAAAAAATTAATAATAATTTAATAATTTTAATTGAAAATTTTGAAAGCAATTGATTTTTATGAAGAAGAATTTTATTAAAATTGTATTGAAAATAATTGAATTCTTGCGAAGAATTTTACTATTTATAAAAATAATTGAATTGTTCTGAAGAATTTATTAAAATTTTAGAAAATAAATGAATTATATGTTATTATTTGAAAATATAAATTCTTTCGAGGAATTTTATTAAAATTGTTTTGAAAAGAATTGAATTTCCGCAAAGGATTTTTACTATTTCTAGAAATAATTGAATTATTATGAAGAATTTTACTATTTTTAAAAATAATTGAAATATTTCAAAGAATTTATTAAAATTTTAAGAAATAATTAAATTGTTTTTAAAGAATTTTATAGAAATATTTGAAAATAGTGAAATTTTTTCGAGAAATTCAATTAAAGTTGTTTCGAAAATAATTAAATTTCTTTAAAGAATGTTATTAAAATTAAATTCAAAATAATTGAATTCAGCACAAGAATTTTATTATTTTTTGAAAATAATTGAATTATTCTTTCAATTTTTTTTACGAATATATTTAAAAATTGCATTGAAAGTAATTTAATTTTTATATAGAATTTAAAAAGTATTTTGAGAATAATTGAATTATTTTTAGAGAATTTTAAATTCTTGTTGAAATTGAATTTTATGGAAATTTTTGAAAATAATTAAATTCTTTCGTGTAATTTTATTTAAATTGAATTAAAAATTATTTAATTCCTACAAAGAATTTTAGTATTTATAAAAATAGTTGAATTGTTTCGAAGAATTTATTAAAATTTTAGGAAATAATTGAAATTTATGGAAATATTTTAAAATATTTGAATTAATCCGAGGAATTCAATTAAAATTGTTTTGAAAATAATTGAATCCCTGCAAAGAATTTTACTATTTATAAAATTAATTGAATTCTTGCAAAGAATTTTACTACAATTATATAAATAATTAAATTTTTTCGAAGGATTTATTTAAATTTTAGAAAAAAATTGAATTTTTTTGAAATGTGTTAAAAATTAAAAAAAAAATTTTATTCTTCCGAGGAATTCAATTAAAATTGTTTTGAAAATAATTGATTTTTGTAAAGATTTTACTATTTAAAAAAAAATTGAACTGTTTGGGATTTATTTAAATTTTAGAAAATAATTGAATCCTTTCGTGAAATTTTATTAAAATTTTTGAAAATTTATTTGTAATTTCTCCAAAATTGAATTTTTTAGTGTTTTTCAGCAAAAATTTTAATTAGAAAATTTTTAAATTCTATTAGTTTTAAAATTGCTAATTTTATTTAAAAAAGGTAGTAAGAATTTTCTAGTACTTTTTTAAAGTTAAATAATACTTTTCGTTTATTTGCAGGGTGGAAAAATTAATTTCGTAACAAATTGAAAAAAAGGCTTAAGTTTATTAAAAAGATTTACTTATAGCTTTTTAATGTAAACTATAATTTTAGACGACAAACTCTTTGGGAAATATTTATTTATTCGATTTTTAGTGAATGGGATAATTATAGTCGTTTCAGCATTATGTCATAAAATAAATTAATTTCTGATCCAATAATTAGATTCCCGCGGCAAAATCTTCAATTCAAGTTTGAGATAAGGAAAAATAGCTACTTTCATATTCCTCCAGCTAATAGTATATAAAACTTGTAAATGATATTTCTTCACATAATTACGAAGTTATTCAGTTTTAATTTAATGTTATAACTTTCATCACTATTATCTAAGTTTCAACTTGAAATTCATATCTCGGAAGAGTTATTAAGTGAAAGTAAATATAAATTGAATCGTTTATTATATCAATACGATTCTATTTTGAATTCTTCATTATTGTTTCTTGATTTTTTCATTCGTAATGTTTATTGGTTTTTTTTATTCCTAATGTTGTTGGCTGTTTCATTCTTTAGATTTATTTATTATTTATTGTTTCTTTCATTTTTAATCTTTATTGATTTTTTATTTGGAATCTTGCATTAATTTATTTTTTTATTGATTTATTGATTTCTTAAAAGCTACGGCGATGAATTAGAATTGTGTCAGTGGTTATAAAGTTTATAGTATATTAAAACAAAAAAGTCGTTATTGTGTGCTAATGCAATGTGTGCTGTATAATATTGAAAATGATTGTCTAGACAAAATATATAACGATTGAATATTCAAATTCTCTATAATTATAATTTCTATTGTAATGTTTATATGTGTGTGAAATTATAGGTACTTATATGGAAATATTTCATGTGAACAGGTGAGATGGAATGAGAAAAAAGTCACCTGTCTCGTTGGCAGCCTCCGCGAACGACTCTGACCGCCTCTGACCTGCTGACCGATTTTCAGCGCTGTTATCCCTGAATCCACTTGTCCCTGATTGGACTTGTATGACCTTCTCAAAAAGTCTGTCCGACAAACTTGGCGCTGACTTAAGGATCTTTACATGATGTTGCGAATCATGATCATCACTGTGGTATACATTTTTTTCTTGTTTATGTATTTTTATTTTTAATTCTGTTCTCACAATAGGCGCAATTTTATTTTGCGTACAATATTCGTAGTTAAATTCGAATTGTTTTCCGGTGCTTTTATGAGGTATTTGCACATTTCCAAGTATTTAAATATTTATTATTTTATTTTTAGAATATATTTTCCGTTGCTATTATTAGTCAATTTCGTTATTAGTTAATCTTATTATTAGTCAATTTTATTATTAGTTAATAGTTAATTTTACTACTAGTCAATTTAATTTTTAGTTGATTTTATTATCAGTCAATTTTATTATTAGTTAAATTATTATTAGTCAACTTTATTATTAGTTGATTTTATTATTAGTCAATTTAATTTTTAGTCAACTTTATTACCAGTTTTAATAGTCAATTTTATTTTTAACTAGCAAATGATACGCGCGGAACGCCGTATTGCATTTATTATTATTTTGTAAATTAAAAAACTTTATATTTTCCAGAATAAACATCAATTTTTGAACGATTATAAATTCAAAATTTAAAGAATTCACTTATTAAGTAGATAAAATTAAATATTCTTGTTTATTTTTATTCAAAAATTTTAATAACATTTTTCGCAAGAATTTTATTATTCTCAATAAATAATAATATTTTTTAGAACACTTCAATTATTTTCCATACAATTTTAATAAAATTTCTAGAAAGAATACAATTATTTTTTAAAATATTATTTAAATTCAATTATTTTCAAGAGTTTGAATATAAATTCAATTATTTTCGACAATTTTGAAGAAATTATTTTCAAAAATCATTATTATCGAAATTTTGAATAAAATTCCTTCAAAAAGTTCAATTACTTTCAAAAATTAAGATAAAATTCTTCCAAGCAATTGAATTATTTTTATTTCTAATTATTTTCTATTTGTAAAAAAAATAAAATTCTTCAAAGGAAATCAATTATTTTCATAAATAATAAAAGGTTTCGTAGGAATTTAATTATTTTCAATACAATTTTAATCAAATTTCTCGAAAGAATACAATTATTTTTAAAAATATTATTTAAATTCAATTATTTTCAACAATTCTGATAAAAATCTACGAAATAATTCAATTATTTTTATAAATTGTAAAATTCTTGTCAAGAATTCAATTATTTTTGTAAATACTAAAATTCTTCTGAGAAATTCAATTATTTTCAAGAGTTTTAATAAAAATTGAATTGTTTTCAAGAATTCTGATAAAATTCTTCGAAACAATTCAATTATTTTAATAAATAGTAAAATTCTTGTCAAGAATTCAATTATTTTTTAAAATTTCAAAAAAAATCCTTCGAAAAAATACAATTAATTTTAAAAATTTTGATGAAAATCTTCCAAAGAATTCAATTATTATCTCAAAAATTTTGATAAAATTCTTTCTATAAAAATAAGAATAAAATTCTAATAAGATCTTTTTAAGAATACAGTTTTAAAAATTGTAATAAAATTTTTCTAAGCAACTCAATTGTTCTCAAAAGTTTTTAATAAAATTCTTTGTAAATTTCAATTATTTTCCAGATTTTCAAATAAAATTATTTAAACAAATGTCATTAGTTTTACGAAATTTAATGAAATTCTTGAAAAAAATGTAATTATTTACAAGAACTCTAATAAAATTTTAAAAAAAAATTTAATTTGTTACGCAAAATTTTTATATAATTTAATAGGAAATTTATTAATTACAATTAATAATAAACACGATTATTTTAGAAAGTTAAAAGAAAATCTTCATAAAATTGAATTACTTTTAAACTTTTCAGTAAAAAATATTTTTAAAAACTCCAATATTTTCAAGAAAATTGAAATAAATTCTTCAAAACAATTCAATTATTTTAAAGAATTTTAATAAAAATCTTGCTAAGAATGACTATTAGTCAATTTTATTACTAGTTGATTTTAATCATTAGTTATTATTTATTATTAATTTTTGTTAGTACTCAATTTTATTATTATTTAGTTAAATTTATTATTAGTGAACTTTATTATTAGTTAATTTTATCAGTGAACTTTATTATTAGTCAGATTTATTATTTGTTGATTTAATTTTATTCACATTTTAATCAAAAAATTTTATTTACATCTATTTTCTATTCTAATAAAATATTTTATTCGCAGAATAAATTAACGATGAAGAGGGAGCCGGATCCAGTTTCGAAACATCAATTGTATTCGCCATATTCCGAACTGATCAATATTGATAGTTTCAAATGGAGAAGTTGGTTAATGATCCTGATTATTCAGTCGTCGAGATAGTGTTTCAAGGTAAGAATTTTCAAATACCTTGCTAAGAAAATTGAAATTATTTTCCAAACAAAAGACATAGAGAAATGTTGAATAATTTTTTTTTCTCTTCAATATTTTCATCAGATTATTAAGAAGAAAAGGGTAAATTAATATTTTCATATTTCCTATATTTTAATAATGAATCTCGCGGTGAAAATCCCCCTCTCCCTTCGCCACGGTGAGACTTGGTATTCTCTCCTTCTCTACTGACATCGCGTGTTCGGAAACTGTCAGAAAACCGCGGCAGGCCAGCAGAGTAGCGCGAGTGCCGGTCGTGCGCGCCGCAGAAACCTAGTACTTTATCCATGATTCTCAAGATGAAATCATTTACAATATTAATGTTCTCTCATTCATGTATTTAAATTGACAAATAGTGATTTTGTGAATTGATTTCGGAAATTGGACTATTTGAAAGTCGATAAATTTTTGGTGATTCTGTCGGGGTATAAAAAAAAATAATAATCAAATCTACGTAATAGAGAAATCAACGCTTTTATATATGTATTTATATAAAGGTGCTGAGATTCTTCTCCGAAGACTATAGAGATCCAGAATCCATATAGGCGAGGTATATATTACAGGAAAATTACACTTTCAAGGAAAACAATTATTAGATGAATTTCTTCCTAATTGAGACTAGTTTTTCTTCGATTTTTCCAAATTTGGAGTTTATTGCGAAATTTCCTCTAATCGTTTATAGTTATTGAAAAATAGTGACTAATACTTTGTTCGAAGTCATGGTATTTAGAAAAACAACAAGAATAAATTAACAAAAAATTAATTTACAATAAATTAATTAAATATTAATTTGAGCAGATTAATTCGTTTGGAAACAATTTTGTTTTTATAATCAAACCCCATTTTTTGACTGCTTTCTTTTCGGAGTAAATTATTTTTTGTCAATTTCAAAATTTTTTGTTGTTGATAAAATTGACTGATGGATTAATAATTTATTTGTATTAAGAATTTTCTAGAATTAATTATTAAGAATTTTCATAATTTAAATAAACATAATTTCCAGTTAATTTAAATTTTAAATTTTGGCTATTCGTAAATAAAATTCTTGTGGATCAGAAAATTCTTGTGAAAAACTGTGTTAGAATCTATAAAAATTAGTAATTAATAAAAAAAAATGATAATGAAAGGAAGAAGAAGAATAAAAATAATAGTAATAATAAAAAGAATAAATTTGAATTTTCCAGGATTTTTTTACGAAAAATAAAAAAAAGAAGAATAAAAATAATAATAATAAAAAGAAGAATAAAAATAATAATTAAAAGAAGAAGAAGAATAAAAAATAATATTAATATTAAAATAAAAATAGAAATAATAATTCTCCAACTACTTATTGGTAATTCATTAATAATTTGACATTAGAAAATATTATTCTAAAATCGAAAAGTTAATTATTAATTGGATTATTTTTCTTTATAATTAAATGACTCATCGATATTTGTGGATTCACTTATTTTTGACGAAGTATTTTTAAATTCGGTCAATATAATTTTATTTGTTTTCAAATAATGGATAATATTCGAGAACAAGAATTCTACAGTTTATTTAGTGCGAGAATCTTATCTGAAAAGGTATCATCATGAGTTTAAAAAGAATAGTTCGTGTGGGAGTGGCAAGTCTGTAAAAAAAAGTGTTGTTCTTTCAAATCTTGAAACTGAGGACACGTTTCTGGAATTTCGCCTACGAAACAGTATTTCGTTGAAAGTAAGGTCGAATCGTTGAAGCTCTTTATTTGGTCAACCTGCGATAAATGATACCGTTTTCGGTAAAAACGGGTTAGTTTTCTTAAAATATCTCTTTCCACACATTTTTCTCTCTCGTTAATTCCCTTTTTTGTTGGGATTTAATTTCCATTTGTATGCTTTTTTTATTCCCGAAGGGAAATTAATTCTTCGAATGTGTGACAAAATTAGGAGGAAATTGGCAAATTTTCGTGTAAAAATTGAGGGAACTAATTTATTTATTGGGGAAATAATTATTTATTAGGGAAATAATTTATTTATTAGGGAAATGATTCATTTTTTAGAGAAATAATTTATTTGCAAGGAAAATAATTCATTTTTTAGAGAAATATTTTATTTGTAAGGGAAATAATTTATTTATTCAAACACCACATATTTAAAAGAAAAAAAATCTTTGGAAATAAACAAAGAGGCGTCAAAATTTCTATTAGCTTAAGGAATTGTCTTTTAACTTTGCTTGGAAAAAAAAGTGATTTGTGTCACAAAAGAAGTGCGTCCTTGCTTTCCGCTTTATTAAACTTTTAGTGTTTGGTATCTATTCTTCTTGGCGAGAGAGAGAGAGAGATTGTTCAGTAATATTACCATAGCAACCAATTCATCCAAGCGTTGCTATTTATTCTATGTCTGATTACAGATTGTATAACAATTCTTGTAAATAAACTTGTTTCATATCAAGTTTATAAAAATGCAAGGTTTTAACAATTCTTGTATAAATAAACTTGTTCTCATATCAAGTTTATAAAATTGCAAGTTTTTAACAATTCTTGTTAGTAAATAAACATGTTTCACTATCAAGTTTATAAAAATACAAGGTTTCGTTTTTTATAGAATTTTTTCTTTGTTTTCAAAAAAATGTCCTCGTAATTTCATTAAAAATATACGATTTTAAAAAAAAAAATTCGTTAAAAGTATTTTAAACAAAGTCATTAAAAAAAATCAATAAAAAATCAATAAAAAAATCATGAAAAAAATTTATTAAGAATATCTAAAAGAAAGAAAAAGAAAAAAAGAGAGAAAAAGAAAAAAGGAAATAAAGAAAGAAAGGAAATTAATTAAAAATTACTTTGAAATATTTTAAAGACATTTTAAATTGTTCCCTAAGAAAATCGAATAATTGATTACTTTTTTTTTGTTTGCAGATAGATTCGAGGATTTAATTGAATTTAAGGTCTTCTTATTTCTCGAGTCACTTGAAATATATAGACTGAAAGGAGATGGGTAAACAGATTCTGTCAGTGATTTCCATTGAAAGTTATTGTTTGTTAAACAATTACTGTCTTCCACACCTTTGTCTTTTGTTTTCTCAAAAACAATGTACATGAATCTTTGGTCATTAATTTCGTTTCTTCGCCAATCGACATTTATCTGTCATTGTTACCTTCAGATATTAATCGAAAACAGTGAGTATTTCGTTACTTAAAAATAATAAACAAGTCAAAATAGTTTTTTAAATAGGAAATTGCTCTCTTAACGTTATAATTAATTTTTCGCCTCTTTCGTAAATAATAGAAAGTTATTAATTTATCATAAATATCGTATCATCATTAGTATTATTTTAGTGGAATTTTAAATTATTTAGCTTGTTATTTAGTTAATTTAATTTAATTTAACTTTTTTCATTTAATTTAATTTATTGTATTTATTTTTTTTAATTCTATTTAATGATTTTATTTTATCTTTTGTATTTATTTAATTCAGTTCATTTAATTTAATCTATTTTGTTTTGTCTATTGTATTTATTTAATTTATTATAGTGTCTTTTTTTAATTTATTTCTTATCAGATAATTGGATGTAATATTTTTTCAATTCGCGGTTTAAAGAGAGAATTTTCTTTTTGCTTTGGAAAAAAGTTTCGAAGCATTTTTTTGAAGCTTTTTTGTAGCATTCCTCCAAGAGTAATTCTTGTCCAAATTTTACAATGTAAATTCTTCACTTATATTCACTTTGTATTCATGAATCATTTAAAGGCAAAGCACTTAAAGGAATAGAAAGTTTACAATTTGACTCTCTAATGATAATTCCGTCTATTCAAATATCTTTTCTGAATTCCAAATCATTTGACAATAATACATTAAAAGATTAATTGTCATTTTCTTTTTTTTTACAAAAGGGTTTATTACTGAAAGGATTTTTTTTCTTCGATAGAAGGATGTATAGATATATATTGTCCATGTTATGTAACACTCGAGGCGATGAGAATCTTCGTTCTTCTCGGGTATTATTCTCGGCTGTATACATATATACAAGGATTGCTATAAGGGTCGATCTTTGGTATGATCATTTCATAATCGTCAATTCATCGTTTCTTCGTGACAAGTTTTAACTGTTACATATGATTATAGTTTTTCTTCTTCTTCTTCTTCGTCTTCTTATTGTCTCTTTATGGAGAGGAATTTTTCCTTTTTGAAAATTATAATTTGCAAAAGATGATGGGAATCGATTAAATCGAGCGCGCTTGTTATTTTCATTCAAAATGGCTGCGTCCTTGAGGAGGTCACGTGGTGCCCAGCTGCACCTACTCGGCCACCCACGAGAATCCTACCTACGGTCCCCCCTTTTTCCCCCTCGGTCCACCCATCCACCTACTTCAATACTATTATTCGTTTCATTGGATCCAAGCATTTAAATCTCCGACTTGTGATCTCTTCAATATTTCTTTTTCTTCTTTCTTTTTTTTATTTCTTTCTTGAAGTAATTTTATTTTGAGAAAATTATATTTGGACGAAATTATAGCTTGAGAATAATTATGTTTTTGAATAATTGTATTCGGAAAAAATTATATTTTTGAATAATTATATTCGAAAAAAGTTATAGGGAAAAATTATACTTGGGAAAAATTATATATTGAAAATAATTATATTTTGAATAATTATATTTCAGGGTTGCCACAGGTCAGGTCAGGGAATTCTCTAAATTTTTATGTTTGCATGGTAAACTATGAAATTATGTTAAAAAATTTTAAAAAAATTCTCGTCAAAATTTCAATTATCTTTATAAATAATAAAATTCTTCTTCGAAATTCGAATATTTTTAAAAAATTTTAATAAAATTTTTGGCAAAATTTCACAGGAATTTGATTATTTACCAAATTTTTAATAAATTTCGTCGAAATAATTCAATTATTTTCATAAGTAATAAAATTTCTACAGGAATTCAATTATTTAAAATACAAAATTTCATAGAATTTTTCGAAAAACATCAATTATTTAAAAAGATTTTTATAAAATTCGTCGCAAGTATTTAATTATTTAAAACAAAATTTAACAAAGTTCTTTTCAAGAATTCAATTATTTTTATAAATAATAAGATTCTTCACCAAAATTCAATTATTTTTATAGACTTGAATAAAATTCGTTGCAAAAAATTCAATTATTTATATAAATAATAAAATTCTTCACAGAAATTCAGTTATTTTTATAAACATGAATAAAATTCATTGGAAGATTTAAATTATTTTCAAAAGTAATAAAATCCTTCGCAGAAATTCAATTATGCACAAAAATTAAAAAAAAATTCTTGTCAAAATTTTAAGTATCTTTATATATGTAAAATGATAAAATTTTTCTCCGAAATTCAATTATTTTAGAAAAAGTTTAATAAAATTCTTGGGAAAATTTTAATTATTTTCATAAATAATAAAACTCATCGCAGGATTTTAATTATTGTTTGATACAATCGATTTATTATTTATGAAAATAATTGAATTCTTGCAATGAATTTTATTACATTTTTTTTTAAATAATTGAATTTTTTTAAAGAAATTTTACTACTTGTAAAAATAATTGAATTCTTGCGAAGGATTTTATTAGGATTTGTGTAAATAATTAACTTTTTTTTGAAAAATTTTATGGTAATTTAAATTATTACAAGTTGTTGAATTTCATGAAGGTTTGAATTTGAATGTTTTGAAGAATTTTAATTCGTACAGAAAAATAATAATTATTAAATATTTATTTGAAAAAGAAGTTTAATAATGTAAATAATTTTATTTAAATTTATTTTTTTGAAGATGTTTTGGAATAATTTTACAATTAAAGAAATATGTAAATAAATATAATAGAACATTTTTCTGAGTGGCTAATATTTTTTAGAGTGAATATATATCAGAATATTCTTTAGGGTCAGGGAAAAAGTGAAAATTTTGTCTGGAAATCAGGGAAAAGTCAGGGAAAAATAAAATTAAATTAACTCTGTATTTGGAAAAAATTTTATTTTTGAATAATTAAATTCGGAAAAATTTATATTTGGGAAAAAATGTTATCTTGAAAAAATTAATGTTTTTGAATAATTATATTCGGAAAAAATTATATTTTTGAATAATTAATTTCGGAAAAAATTATAATATTCTGATTATTATCGTTCGAGATAAAATCAGATTATTTTTTTTATTTTATTATTACAATAAGACATAAAAATTATTACTGACAATATAGTAAGACTAATTATGGTGAATCGTCACCTTAATCGAGTTGCTAATTTTCTGCATTAAATATTATTTTTTGTTCCTTTCGAAAACGAATTTAGAAATTTCGGTGTTAAATTTTTTTTTCAACGATTCACTGTATTTTGTATATTTATATAACGATCGTAAACCTATGAACTTTAACGGTTCTTATGCCACTGGAATGGCTGTAAATTTTATGCGTACACATTTATGTTTATTCAGTTACACATTTAAAAATAGTTATTGCATATTAATGAAACCATTACCAGCCATCATCGTTTATTTTTCAATTTGGAAAAATTATCCAACTCTTATTATTTTTTTATTAACTAAATTAATATATTTTTCGTATGGAATAATTGTCTAATAATATTTATTTAATACAAATGGGGTATTATTAGATAATAATATTATTAAATATTATTTAGTTAATATATTTTTCCATTTGAAAAAATTATCATAACAATATTTAGTTTCTTGACTAAAATTGATAGATTTTTCGATTTGGAAAAATTATCCGTTATCAACTAGAATTAATATAGTTTTGGAAAAATTTGGAATTTGGAAAAATGATCTATTATTAACTGTGAAATTAATATATTTTTTCTGAATTAGTTTCTGAAGTAGTTTTTCATTTGATCAAATTTTTATAATTTGAGAAAAAATCTACAATTAATAATTTCACACAGAGATAAGATTTTTTTGCTTCGTTTAAATTTTATTTGATTGGAATAATAAGGAAAGTAAATCTTTGGATAGTTAGTCACTTGTTGAAATGCCTTTGTTTTTCTATGATGAGATCTCAATAATGGAAGGTAATTAACAAATATTGCATAATAGTGATTCAATGAAAAAATAAAACATTGGGTGTAAATCTTAGGCCAATCCTCTAACGGAAGTAAAGTCTTTTTTAAAATTACTCTCTTTATATTTATATACATTGACGAATGACAAAACCATGTGACGCATAATTGACGTCATTTATGTGAGTGCAGTGTATTGGACAAGAGGATTACCAAAGAAAAATATGTTGATGGCCTTTTCAAGCTCTATATGTGCGTATATGCGTAATTTTAACAACAAGGACGCAATTGGCACAATTCTTTCGCTTCTCTTGTTTGGAGAAAAATATTTAAGTGATTTAAGCACAAATATGCTCGTTTAAAGAATCTTTTTCAATTTTTACGAGAATTTTTCTTCTTTTTCGATTTTTCTTCATTTCTTCTTCGATTTTCACAAAGCGATTTGCATTATTAATTGTTTTTTATGACTCTTTTCGGAAAAATAGTCGACCCTTTCTTATTTTTATTTTGGTTCAAAAAAGAAAAAGATATTTTACAATCGAGACGATTGGGAATTAAATTTATTATTTTCTTTTGTAAAGACTTTTAATTTAGAAAAAGTTCCATAATTCTTATTTTCACTTGTTTTGCATTATAATATGTAGATCAATTGCATGTTTCTTAATTGCACTCGGATTATTAGGTCAAGCTCCAGAGAGCATAAAATACTGGAAAGTGTAACTTATGGAAATTATTTTGTAAATTCGATCTTAAAATATCTGCAATTAAGTTAAGCAGGTTTTTATTTTATTCTTACAATCATTTTATAGAGTTTGGAATTTTTTTCTATTTCTATTTTCCAAAAATAGTATTTTTTAGAATTTATTTTGATTTTTTTTTTTTTTTGAAAGAAAAAAATAGAAAAGTTTGTAAATCAAAATAAAAAAATATATTTATCGAAAATAAATAATATACATTAATAAATTTAGAAAGTAAATAAATCAAAATAAATAAATAAAAAATACTTCGTATTTTTTATTTACTTATTTTGATTTATTTTTGAAAAGAAAAAAAATTTTGAATAGATTGTAAATTAAAATGTAGTTTTGCTATAAAATAATTTTTATTTGTTGTAGGAAATGTGTATTTTTTATTTCCGATTAAGCTTGATAAATTATATGGGATATCATGGAAATATATTCTGACGCGAGAAACTTTTCTCTTCTCTCACAGATCACGACGAAGTTGGTATACGATTGAGATCGACAAGCATGATTCAATGATGGAGGTGATTTCAACACGTCGATACGAAGCAAGAACTCATCCTGGAATTCTAGTGAGTTTTTTTTTCTTTCCTATCCAATCAAAATAATTGCTTTAGAAAAAAAATAGTCAAATTAGAAAAAGTACACAGACGAATAGTCAATTTAAAAAAAAAAGAAAAAAATAATAGTCAAATTTAAAAACTGCACTGAAAAAATTGCCAAATTAAATTAATACACTGAAAAAATAGTAAAAATAGAAAAAAATACATAAACATTGAAACAGAAATTAAATAATATTCTCAAAAAGCAGTTTTTTTTATTCAGAGAAAAAGAAACGTTTAGATTGTTGTTATTATTATTCAAAACTTTTAATAGAATTTTTTGCAAGAATTTCATTATTCTCATAAATAATAAAACAATTATTTTCAAAAATATTAATTAAATTCGATTATTTTCAAAAATTTTAATAAAAATTCAATTATTTTCAACAATTTTATAAATTGTAAAATTCTTGTCAATATTTCAATTATTTTTGTAAATAATAAAATTCTTCTGAGAAATTAAATTATTTTCAACACAATTTTAATAAAATTTCTGGGAAAAAGTCCAATTATATTCAAGATAATTTTAATAAAATTCCTCTAATAAGTTCAATTATTTTTAAAAAATTGTAATAAAATTGTTCTCTGAAGTTTTTAATAAAATTCTTTGTATATTTTAATTATTTTCAAAATTTTCAATTCAAATTATTTTCAAAATTTTCAATTCAAATTATTTTCAAAATTTTCAATTTAAATTATTTTCAAAAAAAAATTTTAATCACTTTCAAAATTTTCAGTAAAAATTATAAAAAAAACTCCATTATTTTCAAGAATAATGAAATAAATTCTTATAGAAAATTTTTATTATTTATTTTTATTTTATTTTATTTTTTTTTCTTATTTCTTATTATTCAAGAATAATGAAATAAATTCTTCAAAACAATTCAATTATTTTAAAGAAATTTAATAAAAATCTTTCCAAGAATTAAATTATTTTCAATATAATTTTAATTACATTTTCTCGAAATAATTCAATTATTTAAAAAAAATGTTGATAAAATTCTTGAAAACAATTCAATTATTTTTAAATTTTTTGACAAATACTTTGCAAGAATTCAATGATTTTAGTACATTAATTTAAAAATTTAATACAACGATTATTAGTATAGAAGATAGATTTTAACTAAATTAATTTTCCTCGAATCGAATGTAAGGAAATAATTTTTTAATAGCAAAAAAGTAGGCAAAAAATTTATTTGAAGGAATTGAACATTTTTCTTGAATTAATAACTATTTTTGAAGGAAAAATTTCCTTTAATAAAACATTCATCCTTGAGTGTAATGATTTAACTATATAAATGTCGACATGAAAACGTTTTTCTACAATGTTTTTGTTCTGAATGATAATTAAATGTTGGCAACGTTCTGCGGTTATAAGCGAAAAAACCGCATTATGGAATAAATTAAAGTAATTTTAACAAAAATACAACTGTTTTAGATGAATTTTTCTATAATTCGAATAAAAATTTGCCCTAATTATTTTTAAACGCATTTCCCTGCATAAAAAAATCTTTTTGAGATTATTTAATTATATTATTTAATATTTATCTATTTTTTTTTGTAATTTAACTTTTTTCCCTGTATTTTTGTTTTTAATTTGATTATTTTTTCTGTGTATTTTTTCTAATTTGACTAATTTATTTATAATACAATGATTTTGATTGTAGAGAAATTTTAATTTCCTTAAAATTTAATTCATAATTATAAATTGTTTTATTATTATAATTATTATTAGTTTATCTTATTTATTTAAATTTATTAAAAGAAAAGTAAGTCAAACAGTGAAAACCAATAATAATTATTAAATTATTAGTTTATTTTATTTATTTAAATTGATTATTTAAAGAAAAATGAGCCAAGCAGTGAAAACCAATAATAATTATTAAATTTGATTCGTAATTGTGAATAAAATTTTAATTTTTCATTTATTGACATTTATGTATATTTTGTGATAAATTTTCAAAATAAAAGAATAAATTCGAATTTAAATAAAAAAAAATGTAATTTATCAAGGAGAAAAAATATTTTAATGTCTGATGAAAATTTATTTTTGTGTAATTAAATTGTTTTTCGTGTGGCGGTGCAAGTACCGTTTTTAATATGGTATTTAACTGGCATGACGTGAATATCGTTTTATTACGTCTATCGTCATTTTCAAAGTGAATATCGCTCACGTAATGAGTTTGAAATGATCTTTAATTCATTGCATTTTCAATCATTGAAGCTTTGTACTTACGCATAAGTACAAACTCGCTATTAATAAGAAATGCGCGGTGGAGTTCAATGCTTGAAGGATAATTCACTTGAATGAGTTTTCTAGAAGTTATCTGACGAAGAACATACTTACCTTGGATGCTTATTAGTCGTAATTTCATGCTTGTTTGTTACTTTAATATTTTCTTTTCATCTTTTTTTTCCAGGTCGATCCAGAGAAATCCATAGCTACTGTTAAAGAAGGTAAGAGAATAACTTTTTTAATTCACTAATTTATGGTTTTTTTATTTATATTTATTTATTTATATTTACTTATTTATAATTTATTCAATTATATTGGATGATTAAATATTCAATCAGAGTTAAAAATAATTATTTTGTTTTATATTTTTATTTTTATTTATTTATATTTATTCAATTATATTGGATGATTAAGTATTCAATCAGAAATAGTGATGATCAATTAGGAATTTCTTTCCTTTCGAGTGAACAATTTACATGAATTATTATTGGCGTTAAAAAATTTTTTTTTCAAGGACAGTAATAAAATAAGCTCGTGAGGTCTCCATGTTAATAATGAGAAATCTTGAGAATCTTGCAATAAATGGGGACGTATTATTATTTTATTGTATATATTACAAAAGTAATTATATTTTGTGTTATGTAATTTACATTTTTCATGACATATTGTCAAACAGTTATTTTTATTCTCTCGAGAAATGATCTACTCTCTTTTCGCTTGAAACTATTTTCATAAACCGCAAATGTTTTCCGTGTTATTAAAATACCGGGAAGAGAAGAAAAAGTTCATATTTTTATTAATACTCATTTCATTAACTTTGTTTTATTTTTTTTCCAGAATTTTGAACTTGTGGAAAAATTTTGTGATCAACGATTATTAGGAGACAAATAATCAGACAAATATTCGACAAATATTTATTAGCAAATCTTACCGCGCAAAACGCGGTATTTCATTTATTATTACTATGCAAATTAAAAAAATTTGCTATTTTCAAATAATAATTTCAATTTTGGAATAATTTCGGATTCAAAATTTAAAAAAAATTCAATAATTAACTAACTTACTGATTGATTATAATTATTAATTATTTTCAAAAAGTTTGAACACAAATTCTTTGGAGAAATTAAATTATTTTTCATACAATTTTAAAAAAATGTCTCAAAAGAATTCAATTATTATGAAGAATTTTAAATCAATTTATGAGAATTGAAATATTTTCAATACAATTTTAATTAAATTTATTGAAAAAATTCAATTCTTTTCAATAATTTAAACTAAATTCTTATCAAGATTTCAATTATTTTCATAATTAATCAAATTCTTGAAAGAAATTCAATTACTTTGAAAATTTTTATTAGAGAATTGAATTATTTTCATAATTAATAAAATATTGTTAATTATTTTAAAGAATTTTAAGAAAATTCTTCGCAAAAGATTTATTATTTTGAAAAATTTCGATTAAGGGGTTACACCACTTTGACCCGTTCAAAACATAAGCTTTTTCAACAATTTTTATTGAAGAATAGAAATTTTTTTAGGAAAATTAAATTACAGTAGGGTATTGTACTACTCTTGAACTACAAAAAAATATATAAAAATTTCTTTTTTTTTTTAAATTGTTGGTTTGACAGATGATATGTTAAAGTGCTTTAAAAATGTATCGCCATACGGTGGACACTATAACTCGGTCCAGAATTAAGCTAGATCAAAAAGTAAAAATGCTTTAGTTTCTGTATCTCAAAATCTAGCGAAATACGTATCCGTTTTAAAAAAAATTTATTTTTCGCAAAATGGCATCGATTTAAAGGAAAAAGTCCATATTTTTGCCTAAATTTCATTATTTAAAGTTGTCTAGAAAATTTAAATATTAATATTTCGAAAAATCCGTACGTATTTCGCTAGATAATTATATCACAAACAAAATAAAAAAAGAACTAAGAGGATCGATTGAAATTTGTGGCAGCTAGAGTGTCCACCGATTTTTAAAATACAGTTTTGAGAAAAACGAGTTTAAAGTTTTCATTACAATGTAAACGTTAGCGCGCGACCCTGCTTGAACAGTTCGAAAATTGTCTTTTTACTTGAGGTATCGATATATAACTAATGACATATCATTTTGGTGTCCATAAAGAGTATTTTAAGCAAAAAAAAATTTTTTCAATTTTTTGAAAATTTCAAAGTGGTGTAACCCCTTAAAGTTTAAATTTTATTATAAAATTTAATTCTTTTACTAAATAATAAAATTCTACGCAAAAATTGAATTATTTTGAAAAATTTTTATTAAACTCTTTATGACAATTGAAATATTTTTAATACAATTTTAATTAAATTTCTCCAAAAAAATTCAATTATTTTCGAAAATTTTAATTAAATTCTTAGCAAGATTTCAATTATTTTCATAAATTATAAAATTTGTCACAAAAATTAACTTAACTTAACTTATTGAAATATTTAGAATACAATTTTAATTCAGTTGCTAAAAAAAATTTAATTGTTTTCGAAAATTGTAATTAATTTCTTAGCAAAATTTTAATTATTTTCATAATTTATAAAATTTTTTGCAGAAATTTAATTATTTAAAAGAATTTTCATAAAATTGTTGGCAGAAATTTAATTATTTGAAAAATTTTGATTAAATTTTTTATGGTATGTCAAATATTTTCAATTCAATTATTGTAATTAACTTCCTCGAAAAAATTCAATTTTTTTTAAAATTGTAATAAAAATTTTAGCAAGATTCCAATTATTTTCATAATTTATAAATTTTTTTCGCTGAAATTTACTTATTTTAAAAAAATTAATAAAATTTTTCGCAGAAATTTTGATGAAATTCTTAATAAGAATTGAAATATTTTTATAATTAATAAAATTTTTTGCAAAAATTGTATTACATTTTGAAAAATTTTAATAACATTCTTAATGAGAAAAAAATTTAATTAAATACTTTGAAAAAATTTAATTCTTTTTCTGAATAATAAAATTCTTCTCAGAAATTCAATTTTTAATTTAATTTAATTCAATAATTTTAATGGAACTTTTTGTAAGAATTTAAATATTTTCGATATTATTTTTCAAAAGAAATATTTTTAATTGAAAACACTTTATTTTAATTAATTTTTGGTAGGTTTTAAACTTTAAAGCATTAAATTAAGAAGCATTCAAAGGAAAAACAAGAAGCAAACGAAAACAATTAACTTTAATTTTTTAATATTATTCTCTGGAATAATTGGGTAAATTTTTAAGAAGAAAAAGAAGATGATGATGATGATGATGAATCAAAATTAATAAAAAAAAATAATTGAAAAAAATTATTGTTACTGCTGAAATATTCAAATAAAAAATAAATCTGTTGGGAAAAATGCTTGTTATCAAAAAAGAAATTTCCTGAGTATAAGAAATTAGAATTTCTTTTTAATGATTAACAAACAAATAATAAAAGACAAAAAAAAAAAAGTGGATCGGAAATGAATGCAATTAGGCGTTGTTTAATAATTGGCGGACGGACATTACATGGAACACTAACTGTTTTTCTTATTATCGAACAGTGTTGCGGTAAACAATGCAAATGGCGTTGTTGTGAATATGGTATTATAGCGCATAGCGTGGCGTTAATACCCACGTTTACCCTTTGTGTAGGTGTACAACACAGGGAGTTACAAAAATTGCATGCCTTTCGTAAAAGTCTCTCGAGACCGTGAGTATTAAAAGCGACTGGTGTCGTAATAATCGTTGATCACAGAATACACGCTTCCACACGTCCGGAACATTGAAAAAAATCAAACATTTCCAAGGTTTTATCCTCCCGATGATCTACTTTTGAAAGGCGCGCACGTTTCACTGTGAGATACTACTCAAATTACTTTTCTTTTCTTTTTTTTTTTTTTTTTATTTTAATATCGTAACAATCGTGCACTCGACCTTTATCATTCTTTTTCAAACTGTATATTGTAATGTTATTATTGAATTTCATGGGAACTTAAGTATTTATATAAAAATATCTCTTCATGTATCGTTTCGTTATTACTATTAAGTTTTGCAGAATGATTTTGTTCACTCATCCCTAACTCGGATGAATTTTAAACATTTTCGTTTGACAATGCAATTTCTAACAAGTTAACTGTTTTTTTTTTTTTTTTTTTAATTACTTCCCGTCTTTTATTGCATTTTAGTTGTATTGTAATACATAAGTTATATAGGTATGCAAGTTGAAAATTTACGAGTTTAGAATAATGTTATTGAGAATATGTTGAGAGTAAGAAAAAAAATTAGAGTAGGTTTCAGTGTAAAAAAAATACTCGTATTTTATAAATACTCTGGTATTTGCAAAAATTTTTTATGAATTTGAAATAAAGTTTCTTTAATTCTTGCAGAGGAATGGGAGACGCGAAAGAAAAAGGAAATAACAACAACGAGGCAAATTGAGACGAGAGTGAAACGACAAGTTGTTCTCGAAGATGGTGAGGTCGTCGTTGACTCTGGACCTCTTGTCACCACCAATACGACTGAAGATGTGGAGCAACAGGAGCATACCACCAAGGAGGTGAAATAGAACATTTTTCCGCTTTTTAATTCATGAAAGAATTTTTCTTTATGAAAGAAAAAAAATTCTTTATGAATTTTTCTTTACGAAAGAAAAGAAAATTCATTATGAATTTTTCTTTACGAAAAAAAATATCTTTATGAATTTTTCTTTACGAAAAAAAATATATCTTTATGAATTTTTCTTTATCGTTTAATATTTAATTAAATAATTAATAATTAATTAATTAATTGATAGTAATTAATTACTTGATACTAATTAATTAATAGGGATTTAAAAAATTAAGTTAATAACAATAACAAATAATAATAAATTAAGTTAATTCATAATTAAAAATTAATTAAATAATAATATTATTTAATTAATGCCTAACCTTAATTAATTAATCAATTATTTCGTTAAAAGAAAAACTGTCGATGAAATTCATTTTTAGGATAACGATTGTAAGAATTATTTGAATCTGTTTAGACCAAAGTATACATTTCCGTTTAATGAGTTTTTAATTTTTTTAAATTTCCGTTTCATGTTAAAAATTAAAAATTATTTAATACTAGAAAATGTTACGCACACCAGCGCATGAAACGCGGTGTTCAAATTATTATTATGATGCAAATTACAAAATTTTGTATTTTCAAAAATTAACTTCAATTTTTTCATTAAAAGATATATTTTTGTTGTTTACCATTTAATTTTTAAAAATTTATGATTCTCAATTTTTAAAAATTAATTTTTTAACGAATTAACTGATTTATTATTATTCTTTATTATTTTCAAAAAGTTAAGAGTAAAATTCTTCGAAGTAATTGAATTATTTTGATATTTAATAAAATTCTTTGCAGAGATTGAATTATTTTTAAAAATGTCAATAAAATTTTTCGAAACAATTCAATTATTTTCAAAAATTTCAATTGATTTCTTCGAAGTAATTAAATTATTTTCATATGTAATAAAATTCTTTGCAAAGATTGAATTATTTTTAAAAATATCAATAAAATTTTTCGGTATAATTCAATTATTTTCGAAAATATAAATTGAATTCTTTGCATGAATGAAACTATTTTCATATTTAATAAAATTCTTTGTAGAAATTCAATTATTTTAAAATTGCAAGAATTCTATTATTTTCATAAATGATTTTAATTATTTTATCAATACAGTTTCAATAAACTTCTTCGAAGCAATTAAATTTTTTTTTTAAATTTTAATAGAATTCTTTACAAGAATTCTAATATTTTCATATTTAATAAAATTCTTTACAAGAATTCAATTATTTTTTAACAATTTCAATAAAATTCTGCGAAAGAATTCAATTATTATCTACAAAATTTTGATAAAATTCTTTCTATAAATTCTATGAATTTCGCTAAGAATTCAATTATTTCGAATAGAATTTTAATTAATTTTCATGAAAAGGTTAAATTATTTTCAAAAATCCTAATAAAATTCTTCGTAAGAATTTAACTATTTTCATATTTAATAAAATTCTTCGCAGAAATTTTAATATTTTGAAAAATGTTGATAAAATTTTTCACAAGAATTCAATTATTTTCTCAAATATTTAATAAAATTCTTCGAAAGAATTCAATTACTATAAAGAATTTTGATAAATTTCTTTGTAAGAATTTAATTGTTTTGAATTCAATTCTAATAAAATTTCTCGAAAGATTTGATACATTTTAATAGATAATAAAATTGTTTTGAAAAGAATTGAATTATTTTCAAAAATTTTGATAATTTTCTTTATAAGAATTTAATTATTTTGAATTAAACTTTAAAAAAATTTCTCGAAAGATTTGATTTATTTTCATAAATGATAAAATTGTTTTGAAAAGAATTCAATTTTACTATCAAAAGTTTTGATAAATTTCTTTATAAGAATTTATTTATTTAGAATTAAATTCCAATAAAATTTCTCGAAAGAATTGAATTATTTTCATAAATATTAAAATTCTTTTGAAAAGATTTCAATTATTTACATAAATTCTAATAAAATTAAATTTACAAAAAGAAATTATGATTTTTAATTCAAAACAATTCTGTTTAATTAATTTTTTTCATATTATTTAATATTAAAAGTATTCAATTCGAATTTCTTTATTTTTGATACTTGAAACATTTAAAAGGAAAAAAATTATATATATTTAATAATATTTAATGAAAAACAATTAAAAATAAATGCGTTAATAGAAAAAGACGAGAAGAAGTGGCACAACGACCGCATATTAAATCAAAGTATGGGAAATATTTTTATCGAGGAAATTTTACACAACAAATTATAAATTTTCTCTGTCCTTGACCTCTGTGAAATTTCTCGTAAGCAAAAGAATTTATCTTCAACATTCATCATAATAATGCGGCGTGAAATCGCAGAAATGGTACAAAACACTTTAACTCAATGAGTGAGAGGCAGATGAAATTTTTTGACATTCTTTAGAGTCTCTGGCTATTGACTTTAATTGTAGTTTCAAGCATCTGTGTTATATATTTATTTTTTTTTTATCTATTTTTATATTTTTTTATAACAAAAAATTTTCTGCTCAATTTTTTTCTCTGTTTCTTAAAGTTCTAAACGTTTGAATGAACGAAATTTATTTATTTCTTTTTTCAAATTTAAATTTGCATATTATTGCAATAATTTAAAAAAAATTAATTCCGGAGATTCTAAATGTTTATTTTTGTTTTCGGCTTTTATAGCAGAATTTTTGAATATAAATATTGGCAAAAAATTTTGTTCAATTGAACGTTCGGAACTTTTGTGGATCATTGACAGAAAACAATAAGTGACCTCTGAATAAAAGAGAGGAACTCTTGTATTTTAAAAGAAAGTCGAACATCTTCGATGATTGCAGAGACGGACGACCGGGGACGAACCCAAGGAGGTGGAATGGCCAATTGGAGGGAAAGGAGAAGGAATAGTCCAGAAAGAGCTTAACGAGACGGTGGTGCGAAGTCGTGAAGAAATCGAGGAACGTCTCGAGACCGAGGATCGACAGCAACTTGGCGATATTTCCGATGAGGTAATTAATTTTTCTCCACAAACAAATTTTTTGCTTCCTTCTATTTTTAATGTTTAATTCATTTTTTTTTAATTTTCTTCTAATAGATCTTTGGATTTTTTAATTTCTCTGCAATTGAAAAAATTTATCTAATTATCTCTTATTTAAGAATTAAAAAAATTTATCGAAAAATGTAATTTAGATCTCGCGTTTAGATAAATTTTTTTCAATTTTACTTTTCAATCACTAAAGCGAATTAAATTGTGTAAATTATTTCCTTTAATGCGCATTTTCTTCTTTAACGCTTCAGTTGGAAATGCAAATTATCCTCTTGAGTGAAAAAAAAGAGTTTATATTTTCTCGGTAATTTAGCAGAAGAGAAAAAAAATTTTCCTCCTGGTGAATACAATGAAAAGATTCTTTTTCTAAAGTTGGAATTATTATCGAATTGATTGTTTGAATTTAAATCTTGAATGTTGATGTTCTGACTTTTCTTCTAGAGGAACAAAGTGCAAGACAAAAGGTCAACGTTATTGCGGAGTCATTCTCCTGGTTCTTGAATACTGTTTCAGTAGTAACAGTCTCCTTTTGTAAGACTGTTTTCGAAACATTCATAATTCACTTCACGTCCATCATAATTCAAAAAAAAAAAAAAAACCTTTTCTTCATATTTTCGAACTCAAAAGTAATGACATTTAATGATACAGCCACGAGACAGTTGGAAAATACAGCGCGCATTTCTTTTTATCTACAACAACAACAACAACGAAAAGGAAGGGAAAAAAAGATCACATTCACCTGTAATTTACAATTTGTACACTATATAGTTATTCGTCATCAATTTTCTCTCCAAAGAAATAAGTTTTCCATTGGCTTGGAAACTTGATATTGTTCTGAAAAGAATTTAAGAAAAATTGTTAAAACAGATTGTTGAAAAAAATTGTTTTGAAAAATGAGAAATCATAAATTCTTAATTATAAAGGAAATGTTGAATCAAATCGTGGCTTGCACGTGTACCAATCCACCTGCGCGTGCCACAAAGTAAAGTGTGCACGTCCGTTTTTCCATTCCTCAAAGCGAAAGCACTCGAATCTTCTCTGTGCAAGCAAAGGTCGTTCCGCCTTTTTCCTCGAGGCTCACCTCTCATGTATAAACACACATACACCTCAATATGTGCACTGTATATAACATTCAACTTATATGCGTTTCTGTTTTCAGTGTTCGGTTTGTAAATGAGGCCGTTACATAAATTCACACGAGACTTTCTTTGAAATTGGAATACCCTCTACACACCATCAATTTTCTTCTGCATTCAACGAACCTCGAGAAAGAGAAATGAATAAAATTAGTTAACCACCATTTACTGCCGGCTAAAAAAAGAACAACACAACAGACTCTATATAGTCGCAAAAGTCTTTAATTGTTGGTTCAATTCTTCGCTTTATGAATTGCAAAGGGAATTTTATTGAATGGAACTATTTCATTGACGCGATTATATAGATTATGGGAAAATCAATTTGGAATTTTTATTTCCATTGGAAGTGGATTTTTTAATTATCGTATTAGTTCTTCATAATTATCGTTAAAATTTGGTTTCATTTATTATCGAGTAGATTTTCTTACTGATTATAATTTTTCTTTTGGAGATTATAAGTCGTCATTAACTACCACTGTTTTTAATTTCTTATCAACTGGTACCAAAAACAGGCCAGTGTTTAAATTATTTATTATTATTATGCAAAATACAAAATTTTTCATTTTCAAACGTAAAGTTTTAATTTTTTAAATAATTTCTGATTGACAAATTTTTGAAAATTTACTTTTTAACGTATTAACAAATTAAATATTTTTATTTGTTATTTTCAAAATGTTTGAATAAAATTTTTTGGAGTAATATTCTATTATTTTCAAAAATTTTAATAGAATTCTTTGCAAAAAGTCAATTATTTTCAAAAATTTTAATAAAATTCCTTGCAAGAATTTAATTGTTTTCATATTTAATAAAATTCTTTGCAGGAATTCAATTATTTTTAAACATTTCCAATAAAGTACTTCAAAGAAATTCAATTCTTTTAAAAAATTTGAATAGAATTCTTTGCAAGAATTCAATTATTTTCATATTTATTAAAAATTCTCTGCAGGAAAATTCAATTATTTTTCAAAAATTTTAATAGAATTCTTTGCAATAAATTCAATTATTTTCAAAAATTTTAATAGAACTCTTTGCAAAAATTTAATTATTTTCCAAAAATTTTGAAAAATTTGTTTGCAGGAATTCAATTATTTTACAAAATTTAAAATAAAATCTTCGAAGTAATTCAATTATTTTCCAAAAATTTTAATAAAATTCTTTACAGGAATTCAATTATTTTCCAAAAATTTTGAAAAATTTTTTTGCAGGATTTCAATTATTTTCATATTTAATAAAATTCTTTGCAGGAATTCAATTATTTTCGTATTTAACAAAATTCTTTGCAAAAATTAAATTTTTTTTTAAATTTCCAATAAAGTTCTTCAAAGAAATTCAATTATTTTTAAATTTAATAAAATTCTTTGCAAGATTTCAGTTATTTTCATATTTAATAAAATTCTTTGCAGGAATTCAATTGTTTTCATATTTAATAAATTTCTTTGCAGGAATTCAAATATTTAAAAAAATTTTGATAAAAATCTCCCAAGAATTCAATTATTTCTAATTCAATTTTTCATTTACGAAAGAAAATTTTAATTATTTTCAAAAATTCTGCTAAAATTCTTCATTATCGAAGTCAATTATTTACAATAGTTTTAATGAAAATCTTTGCAAGAATTCTATTATTTTTATAAATAATAATATTTTCGCAGGATTTCAATTATTTTCAATACAGACTTTAAATTGCATTTAATTCAATTTTTTTCCATTATATTTAGATTTGTTGTAAGTCATTTTTCTTTTGAATAATTGAATTTTTTCTAAATTATTAAAAATTGAATGAAAAATAATGTCAATTTTCGCTTTTTTTAATTATTCAATTCTCAAAGAATTTTTTTTTTTTGAAACTGTTTAAAATAATTGATTTAGAAAAGAATTTGGGATAAAAATTCCAGAAAATAATTGAATATTGCAAAAATTATAGTAGAAGTTTTTATAAATAATTAAATTTCACAAAGTTTCAAATTTAAATTTTGAATAATTTTAATAAAAAATTTTTAACAAATTAGTTCTCTTAAAAAAATTTGATTAAGATTTCTTTTATATATTAGTTGTTTATTGGAATTGTTGTTTAATCTTTGAATTATTTTATTAAAGAATTTTTGTAATAATTTAAATTTCATAAAATTGAATGAAAACAATTAAATTTTGACTCATTTTTAGTCAATTTCTTATTTTTCTTTTTTTTTGAATAATTGAATTCTCAAAGAACCTTATAAAAATTATTAAAAATAATTAATTTAAAAAAGAGTTTTAGTAAAAAATTCTAGAAAAAATTTAATTTTGCAGAAGTTCTTTGAAAAATTTTTTATTTATTAAATAATAATTAACATTATGACTGTAATTTGTTTTAATTTTTTACTTATTTAATTACAAATTTTTTTCTAGTAATTAATATTCCGTAAAATTGAATTTAAAACAATTTAGAATTTTAGTTAAAAATTATAGAAAATAATTTAAATTCATTTAAATATTCATTTGAAAAATTATTAAACTTTTGAATAATTGTACCAAAAGATTAAACTGCTACCAAGTTAGTATAATTCAGTATTCATACGGTACCAAAAAATTGCTGGTACCAAACGAATAAAATCCACTTTTTAGCTGGAACCAAAAATTTACTGGTACCAAATTGAATATATTTCAATATTAATCTGAAACCACAAATTTACTGGTAGCAAATTAATATAATTCAGTAATAATTTGGTATCAAAAATTTACTGGTCCCAAATTAATATAATTCAGTATTAATCTACTACCAAAAAATTACTGGCACCAAATTAATATAATTCAGTATTAATCTGGCACCAAAAAATATAAAAATTAACCAGTGAAACTGAATTCAATTAATTTTCAAACTATTACCACTTAAATGTAATTAATTATTATTAATTGCTACCAAGACCACTGAATATACTTTCATTGTGAAATCTCAAAGCATTTCTTCAATTATCTTCAAAGATAATTGTTTTCTCATTCTTTTGATATAGTTTTATTCTCGAAATTCCTAATTATCGTGGGAACATTATTATGCATTGTCAAAAAAATAAAAGAAAGAATTTCTCTTCTAGACTAAATATCCTCGGATTTTATCTTGATTTTAAATGGATTATTCCATTTATTTTATTTTGTTCCCCCCACCTCTTTCTCACTGTCTCTATATTGTGCATAATAGATTTTGTATTTGTATATAGTAGGTATTTAAAATATTTTTTTTTCGAAAAAAAGTGTTGAAAAAAAGAAAAATTGTGAGATAGTTTTATAATCGAGTGGTATTTCTTCATATATAAAACGTATATATATGTACCTATATAATATGGTCCCTTTCATGCTCTCAACATGTAGTAATAAGAAAGATACGATCATAGATCAATGATAACGTAAATACATCACTAGAATGATGATGCACGTTCTGTAAATTTCTAAAATATCCCACTTTACAAGTGAAGCTTGAATAATTTTCTATTTTCGCCATCAGAGCGGCTTCTGCATTCTTCATGTGCCGATCACTGTAAATCCGGAGGCTGAAAATCTCGTGGCGATTTGAATATCTCGATCTGTGTGTATTTGTATATTTGTATTTGTGTGAGTATTCAGGAAAGAGGGAATAGTATTCCTTCTATCTCTATGAGAGAACGACCAAGTTGAATATATTTATGTATTAGTGTATATATACACATTTATATTCTCATATGTTTCTTCGCTTCGAACTCACATTATTATATAGTTAAGTTTGCATTCTTGAGTGACTGAGAGATGCTTGCGAGAGAGAAATAATCTTTGGGAAGAAATGAAGAGAGCGTAAAGGAGAGATCGATCGAGAAGGAAA